GATGGTGATGGTGGTGATGAAGATGATGATGATGATGATGACGACGACGACGACGACGACGATGACGACGACGAAGACACGCGGGGGGCAGAGGCAGGGACGGAAGGGGAAGAAAGAAAGAGGAGGAGGAAGGAGTGGGGGAGACGCGGGGTGCTGTCTCTTCAAAGCGGGGACCCAACACCACGGGATGGTCGGGGGACACATGTGACGCGAGGATCTCATTGTGGAGGCTCTCTCTATCCCCCCACGACGGAGGGGAGGTCCCAAGAGCTCGCGGCCGCGTCGGCAAGGCGCCCACCTGCCGCGCTGTCGAGCCCGGGAGCACTCCGCAGAAAAATGTGCGCGGACACCCGCCGACGAGTGCTCCCCGTGTCTTCGAGGTACAGCAGGAGCTCGACCATAAAAAACCTTCTACTGGAGACCCAACCCTGAGACCCAAGGACGTCCACTGGTTTGAGGCGTGGGGGCGTCACGCTCTCCCTAGCAAAACCATCGAAGACCCGAGATCCCCAGGGGGCCCTGGAGGCAAGCAGGGTGCTTCTTGGCATGGGTTTCCACTGTAGGGTGACGATGTGTTGAATGGCTGGCTCTGAGCGATGGTTCATACACCGCCACCCCCCAATGAGACCTTCTGTGGCAACTCGTGGGGGCTTCCTATACCATCTAGCTGGCTCTTGCGATTCGACGGGAATGCGACGCTAAATCGACGCGAAATCGGCGCTAACTCGGCGATCTCATCGATTTACCAGACGCGAGACAGAACCACGAGGATAAACGAGGCCCCCATGATCTGCTACTGGAAAATCGATATGTGCATCTATCGCTAAGTCGGGCCTGTCCCTCTACAGGAGGAAATACTCCAAAACAAAAAATAGTCTAGGGACGATTTTCTTTGTAAGTTTTGCAATGATCGAATATGTTTGGATTATCTTTAATTTTTCCTCCAAAATCCGCCTGTAGGGGGACATGCCCGACCTCAATATATCGCTGGTTTCTGACACCGCGTGGGTCGTTCAGCCTTCCACGATCGGCGGCTTCTCAATCGCCAGATCGTTCCGTATTTGCCGCAGGGCCCGACCTGAACGGTGTTTCTCGTTTTCGTGCTGCTTCCGTCTTCCCTCGGCCTGTCGTCGTCCCTCCCCATACTGCAGAGCGGAACCAGAACGAACACGGCCCACGAGATCGCCAAAACGCCGTCCAGGTCGAGCCCTGGTGTGCTGGTCCTGGACCACTGGCAGCGCTCAACTCGGCGGTGGACAAACCTCCCTTTAGTAAACCTCCCTTTAGTGAAAGCGGCCTGGGACCGAAACCGACGGACCTGGACCCGCAAAAATGACGGCCGCGACGCCCTCTCGCGAACCGAAAACGGCCAATTCACTAATCGACCCCAAACGCCACCGCCGGGGTCGCGGCCGCGCCGAAGCGGCCCGAGCCTGCCGCACGCGCAGCCGCACGTGCGGAGACTGGGCGCTGCCGGAGGAGAAACGAAGAGCCCCCCTTGCTGGCCTCCGCCTCGGCGCGCCCTGCTTTCCCCGACCCTTGCTCCTCTTCTTCCTCCTCCTCCACCTCCCCCTCCCCTACCGGCTCCTCCTCCTCCTCCTCCTGCCTCCTCCTGCTGCTCCCCCCCCTCCCCCCCCCCTCCTCCTCCGCCTCCCTGTCCTCGTCGCCATCGTCGTCGTCCTCAGGGTCGGCGGCACCGGCCGTGAGAAGGCCTCCTCGATGAGGAGCGCAAGATACTTTTTTTTTGATTCGCGGGTCGAGAGCGCACCTCTTCCGGTCGAAGCTAAGCGGGCCGCGCGAAGCTTGAATTAACATTGAAGGGGAGGAAGGGGGGAAGGCGCAGCCTCAGAGCGAGGCCGGGACGAGGAGTGCAAAATACAGAACGAAGCCCCTGTTTGGCCCCTAAGAGCGCCTGCGTGCACGAGGAGGGCCAGAAGGCCAGCCCCGGAAGGACCCGAGGCACGTCGAGCCCCGTCCGCGCCCCAGCTCTCCCTGCTCTCGGCGTCCTGACTCTGCCCTCGACCAGGACAGGAAGGGATGCGGCAAGGCTGCAAGGGCCTTGGAACGCCACGTTGACGTTTCCCATGCGGAGCGCAGCAGAATGCCGAAGCATGCCCCAACTCTCCCTGCTTTCGGCGTCTTGACTCTACCCTGGACCAGGACAGTAAGGATGCGCGGCAAGGCTGCGAGGGCCTCGGAACGCCACGTTGACGCTTTCCTTTTTTTTGCTAGCAGCCGTAGGCGAGCGCGCCATCGGCGAGTAAGTTCCGAGCGGGCCGCGCGAAATTGACGTTTTCCATGCGGAGCGCAGCAGAATGCCGAAGGATGCCGAATACCGAAGGGGCAAGGATGCAAGAATGGCCTTGGAAAGTTGCCCCATCCTCACTATCATGGTTGACGGTACACCTTTGCGGCAGGGGCACTGCCGACGGAGGGCGAGCGTTACGGGTTTGTCCATGGACGCCTTGTTACCCCTCGCTCCCGGGCCGTCTTCGGCGGTCCTCGGCGGTCTTCGGGCGGTTCTCGGCGGTCTTCGGCGGTCTCCTGACGGTCTGCGGCGGCTTCCGGCGGTCTTGGGCGGAGGCACTGCCGACGGAGGGCGGTCGATACGCGTTCGACCATGGACCCCTTGTTACCCCTCCTCCTCCTCCTCCGCCTCCTCCTCCTCCGCCTCCTCCTCCTCCTCCTCCTCCTCCTCCTCCTCCCCCTCCTCCTCCTCCTCCTCCTCCTCCTCCGCCTCCTCCTCCTCCTTCTCCTCCTCCTCCTCCGCGCTCCTAGGCCGTCTTCGGCGGTACTCGGACGGCCTCTGGGCGGCTTCCTCGGCGGGCTTCGGCAGTCCTCTCGTCGGTGTTTCTGACGGCCTGCGGCTGCTTTTCTGGCGTTTTTGGGCGAGTTCAGGCGGTCCCTGGCGCGAAAGCTGGATTGTTGCGCTCGACGAGGCGTCCAGAATCGAACACCTGACGGCTCGCCAACGCTCGGACGTCCCTTCCCCGCGCATTGTTCGGCTTCGTGCGTGTACAGTCAACCCCTATCATGAGGATGCGCGGCAAGGATGCAAGTGCCTTGGAGACCCATGTGGACATTTTGTCGAACGAGGCTGGCCAACGAATGTCGCTAAAGTTGTGCCGAAGTGGCAAGGATGCAAGGGTTCCCTTGGGAAGGTTGCCCGTCCTCACTATACGGGTTGACTGTATTTTGGGATGGCCGCGCTCAGCAGAGGGGTCCATGGTCGACCACGAGATGTTCGATGCACGTTCCGCGATGCGCGGGGTGTCCTCTTGTCGTCGCGCCGCCGCCCTGGCGAATGGCGCCCATCTGGCCCAGGCTGCGATGCGCGAAGCGCGATTACAGCAGGAGCCCGACCACAAGAAACCTTCCACAAGAGACCCAAGCCTGAGACCCCAGGACGTCCACTGATTTGTGGTGTGGGGACGTCACGCTCTCCCTAGCAAAACCATCGAAGACCCAGAACAGGGGGCCCTGGAGGCGAGCAGGGTGTTTCTTGGCATGGGTTTCCACTGCATCTTCGCCCCCACCAACGGGTTCGTAATCGAACGCCCAGCGCCTCGCCAGCGCTCGGACGTCCCTTCCCCGTGCACTGTTCGGTCTCACGCGCCTGTTTCTAAAGGGGCCCTGGGACACACAAACAAATAGACACAAATAACAGGATTCCCCATGTATTCCCACATTTTCTGGGTTTTCGTCTTCCCCCCGATGGTCCACATTGTCCCACATCTTCCTGGGAATCGACGCTTCATTGTGCCTGTGTTTCCCCTCCGGAGCTTCGCAAGATGACCCAAGACGCTCCCCGGTGATCCCCGCGGAGAAAAAAGAGGCCGACGCCGCGACTAGGGGGCCGCATGCGAACCCCCCCCTCCCCCTCAGAACTCGTGGGGGGGAGGGGTAGGGTTCGCATGCGGCCCCCTAGTCGCGGCGTCGGCCTCTTTTTTCTCCGCGGGGATCACCGAAAAATGTCTTGGGTCGTCTTGCGAAGCTCCGGAGGGGAAACACAGGCACAGTGAAGCGAATGAAGGGAACCCCCCCCCCCGGGCGAGGCGGCGAGGCCCTCCAGGGACCGCCCTCTCCTCCCCTTCCTCCGCCTCCTCCTCCTCCTCGTCCTCCTCCTCCTCCTCCTCCTCCTCCTCCTCCTCCTCCTCCTCCTCCTCCTCCTCCTCCTCTCCTCCTCCTCCTCCTCCTCCTCCTCCTCCTCCTCCTCCTCCTCCTCCTCCTCCTCCTCCTCCTCCTCCTCCTCCTCCTCCTCCTCCCTCCTCCTCCTCCTCCTCCCCCTGGGGGGGCCCTCCGAAGCGGCGGCGGCGTGCTCGCGCCGCGGCCCCCCGGCGACGGGCGCATCCTGGGCCACCAGCAGCGCCGCGCGGTCGCAGCTCCGCTCGGCCGCGCGCTGCCACGCCCCGAGGCCCTGGGCGCGCCGCGCGGACCGCCGCGGCGCCGAGCACGCCGCCGCCGCTTCGGAGGGCCCCCCCCAGGGGGAGGGGGAGGAGAGGAGGAGGAGGAGAGGAGGAGGAGGAGGAGGAGGGGAGGAGGAGGAGGAGGAGGAGGAGGAGGGGAGGAGGAGGAGGAGGAGGAGGACGAGGAGGAGGAGGAGGCGGAGGAAGGGGAGGAGAGGGCGGTCCCTGGAGGGCCTCGCCGCCTCGGCCGGGCGCGGCCGCCCCTCGCTCCTGCCACCGCTCGGACGCCCCTTCCCCGGGCGCTGCTCGACGTCGTGCGCGTGCGTCTCGCGAGTCGCGAGAGGATCCAGGAGGCTCCCCGAAGGCCCTCGCCGAAGCAGCACACGCGTGCGCGCGCTGCCCAGTGTTGGTTCACAACGGGCAAATCTGCCCTGCTTCGGGCGCCGGGGGCCCCACGGCTTTCGGTGCGGCCCGCAGAGGGCGGCAGCAGATTGAGACCCTGGCATCCTGGCGTCGCTACTGGTTCACAGCGGGCAAGTCTGCCCTGCTTCGGGCGCCGAGACCACCACGGGTCGATCCTGCCGATCCTGGCGCCGCTATTGGTTCACTCGGCGGCGACGATAGGGGCGAATAGCCCAGGGGCGGGCATTACACGTATTCGCCCAGGTGCCTTGTCGAAGACATAAATCATCGGCGCCCCTGGATACATGTATTGCTCTCCCCTGGGGTATTCGCCCCTATCGTCGCCTCCGATTCACAACAGGCAGCTCTGCCATACTTCGGGCAATGGCAGGGCTCGACCCAAACTTTTCGCTTTCGATTTGCGTCGCTCTGTCTTCGCTCCGCCCTCGGCGCCAAACGGAGGCAAAACGAAAACGCTTTTCGAAACCGTCAAAAACCCGTTTCGGTCCAGCCCTGGGCACCGGGGCCCTGACGGATCGATCAGGCCCGAAGAAGGCGGCAGAAGAGTGAAGTCCAGGGCTCTAAGGCGCGATTGCCTGTGAGGGTGCAAGGTCTGATCTCGGCGTCGGCTCTCAGAGCCACCGCTGGCCAGGATGGGCCGCCGGAGGGGATCAGGGGCCCGTTCGCGCGCGACCACGACGACGACGACGACGACGACGACCACCTCCACCGCGACGATGACGACGAAGACGACGACGACCACGACGACGACGAGCACGATCACGACGACGACCACGACGAACACGACCACGACCACAATCACCACCACGACGATGACGACGACGACGACCAGCACGACGACGACCATGACGACCACGACGACGACCACGACGACAACGCCCACGACCACAACCACAACCACAACCACGACCACGACGACGACCACGACGACGACCACCACGACGACCACGAAGACGACCACGACGAATACCACGACGACGACCACGACCAAGACCACGGCGACCACGACCACGACCACAACCACGACCTCGACGACGACCATGACGACCACGACCACGACCACCACGACGACGACAACGACAACGACAACGACGACGACGACCACCACCACCACCACCACGACGACCACGACCACGACCACGACCTCGACGACGACCATGACGACGACGACGACGACGACGGCGGCGACGGCGACGGCGACGGCGACGGCGACGGCGACGGCGACGACGCACGCGGAGGCATGCAGATCCAGGCGCCTCCAGAGACCTCCAGAGGCCCACGAGGGATAGGGCAGGGCTGGCGGGCAAACGCCAAGCGAAGGGAGGGCAGAGGACTGGGGAAGGGGACCGTGAGGTGAGGGAGGGGGAGGGACGAGGGAGGGCGGGGAGGGGAGGGACGAGGGAGGAGGAAGAGGAAGAGGGGGAGAGGTAGGAGGCAAGCTAGGTGCGCTCGCGTCATATCTGACGTCCTACCCCTCCCTCCCATCCCTTACCATGGCGCTGATTTTCTCTATCCGCGGACGCGTGTCGTAGCGGACCTGTGGCTCCGCGCGCGCGTGCGTAGTGGGTGGTGGTGCACGTGCGTGCGTGCGTGCGTGTGTGCGTGGTTGTCGGTGGTGGTGGTGGTGGTGGTGGTGGTGGTGGTGGTGGTGGTGGTGGTGGTGGTGGTGGTGGTGGTGGTGGTGGTGGTGGTGGTGGTGGTGGTGGTGGTGGTGGTGGTGGTGGTGGTGGTGGTGGTGGTGCTGGTGGGTGGGTGGTGGTGGTGGGTGGGTGCTGGTGGTGGTGGTACTGTGCTGGTGCTGGTGGTGGTGGTGGTGGTGGTGGTGGTGGTGGTGGTGGTGGTGGTGGCGGTGCGGCGCGTGGTGGCGGGCGGATGGGCGCGCGAGAAAAAGGCCCGCGCTGGGGCGAGAACGCCATCCTGAACGACGGAGGCCAAACACCGATCCGAAAATGAGGCCCACGCTGCAGCGGGAGCACGATTCGGAACGATTCGGGAGCAGAAATGAGGCCGGCGCCTCAACGAGAGCAGCATTTTGGGAAAAAATGACGCCGGCGCCTCAGCGAGAGTCGTTTCCCGGGATTTCCCGGGCATCCTGTGTGACAGTACGCGGAGGGTGCGCGGCCATCACCCGGACGCCATCAGGGGAAGAGGGAGAGTATTTTCATATTGAGTAATTGTGGAGGGACGAGGAAGGGGAAGGGGGAGGGAAGGAGACGAGAGAGAGGGGAAGGGAGGGGAGGGGAAGCAGGGAGAGGGGAGGGGAAGGGAGGGGAGAGGGAGAGGGAAAGGGAGAAGGGAGGGGAAGGAGGGGAGGGACGAGGGAGGAGGGAGAGAGGGAGAGGCGGAGAGACGCCCCTTTTTTTCCCGAGCCCACCATAGTCCAACAAATGTTTGTCGGCGTGGACCTCACACACTGGGCAGTTGCTCCCTTGGTGCGCAGTATTCGCAGTGCAAACTCTGTATGGTGTAACTTATGCGGAGTAATCTACGCGGTGGGACCCATGAAATGCAATATACGTGGCGAGGTATGTGAATTGTGAGCTCTGTACTGTGTAAGTAACAGTCAACTATGCAAAGCTTGATGTCGTCAACTCCACAACTCGCGTAAACATCCCACCCTCACACCCGCAATTCGATTGGCAAAACCCCTTCGGCCACGACTGCAGCTACTACGGGCACTTGCTGAATCTCTAAGGCCGCATTGGCGCGCGCACGCTCGCGTATAGAGCGATCAGCTCATTTGACACAACTGATGCGGCCGCGACGGCACTTTCCGATGGGAACTTCCACGCGCATTGCAAAGGCCACGCCTGCGCGCGGGCACTTTAGCGCGGGTCGGTGATCCAGGCGGGCGCGATATCCTGATAACGTCGAGAAGGGCGGAAAAGATGATGATTAGAGCGATGGGAAGTGGCAATGATGACGATGACGACGGCAAGGCCAATGACGGCGCCAATGCTGGTGACCAGGATGACGATGATGATGTGCATGCGTCGGTGATGAAAATGATTGTGCTGATGCTGGCGGCAATGGCAGCGATTGGCGATGAAGACAACGGCAGTGATCCGATGGCGCTGATGCGAGCAAGTGCGCGCGCAGAAATTCAAGAACTCTGGCAGCCTTTGTCAAAAACTACTTTAGATTCGATCTGCTTGAGGAGCTTTATTATCATACGATAAATCCAACTGGTTTGAAGGTTTTTGATACGCGCGCGTGGCAGCGCGCCCATGTTGACCGCATGGTACTGTTATATGATACGGATTCGTGCACAAGACGCATGCTACAGCCTCGGGAAACTTCTCTCCTGACGCCGAACACCGGGCCAACGCCGGCTTGAAGCAGGCCGCTTGATGTCGAGGGTGAGGCAGTGTGGGCTTGCACCACGAAGCTTACACCACATGGTTTCCACCACATATGTTGCACCACATAGTTTACACCGTTTAGCTTGCGACGATGTGATCTTGCACCACATAGCTTACACTACAACTACACCTCTTCCACCACATATTTTGCACCACATAGCTTGCACCGTTCAGCTTGCGATGATGTGATCTTGCACGACATAGCTTACACTACACCGTTTCCACCACATATTTTGAACCACATAGCTTGCACCGCATAGCTTGCGACGATGTAGCTTTGCATCACATAGCTTACACCACATAGCTTCGACCACACGATTTGCACCACATTACCACGTAGCTTACACCACATAATTTGCCGCAATGTCGGTTTGCACCACATAGCTTACACCACATAGCGGGCACCGCGTAGGCTTGCTCCGTAGAGTTTACACCGCACACTTTGCGACGATGTGGGTCTGCACCACGTAACGTGCACCGCTTACTGGCGCCCCGTAGCTTGCATCGCGGGATATATGTGGACGAGTTTTCAAGCCAGATGTCGCCCGATGTGTATCAAACCAAGCCATTCATGAAGACGCTTGAGGCGAAATCAGGCCTAAGCCATAACGAATCGAACGTATTGTAAAGACGTGTCAAGCAAAACAACAGCCGAACCAAGCAAAATGGGAGGATGTCTCATTCGAATCCGCGCCCGAACGAGGCCAAACCAGGGGAATCGTGGGCACGCATTAACCGGAACCGAACCAGAACAACACTAAACCAGGCAAGCTGTAAAGACGTACCAAGAGAAACCGCGCCGAAACCAAGACAAACCAACCAAATTGCGAGCACGCCGCAAGCGAAACCAGACCCAAACCAGGGCAAGCCAGGGCCCCCTAAGAGGGAAATTCTGAGGATTGTTCAGGCGAGGCACCCAGCCAAACTATGCCAAACCAAATCAAACCAGTCCAACCCAGGGGCCAAACCAGGCTGAGGATGCCAGGCGAAACGCCCCAAAGCAGTCTCCGTATGTCTCCGTCCACTGACCGTAGTAAAATTGAATGAACGGAGCGGAGGACCAAAGGAAGTTCCCCAGCAGGGGATCCTGCCGCCATCATCATCATCATCATCATCATCATCATCATCATCATCATCATCATCATCAGCATCAGCATCAGCATCAGCATCAGCATCATCATCATCATCATCATCATCATCATCATCATCATCATCATCATCTCATC